GTGTGCCTGATGCCAGCCATGGTCTTTTCAGTAGCCTCACGTGCATGTGAGAGCTGGACAATGACTAAGGAAGACTGCAGCATTGATGTCTTTGAGTTGTGGTGTTGGTGAAGAATAGTGAAGGTACCACAACTGCCAGAAGAATGAGAGAACCTGTCTTGGAGGAGGTACAACTGGAATGGTCCTTGGAAGCGAGAAGGGCCAGACTTCATCTCTCGTACTTTGGTCATGTTGTCAGAGGGACCAATCCCTGGAGAAGGATGTCATGTGTGAAAGCATGAGCAATGATGAGGATGAGCAACGATGAGGATGAGCAACAGCGGAGAAGACCCTCCATGAGATGGACTGACACAGCGGCCGCGATGATGAGCTGGAGCACGGAGGCAACTGTGGGCCTGAGCAGGACCAGGCAGTGCTTGGTTCTGCTGTGTGGGGGGTCGTTCTCAGTCAGCACTGACTCGGTGGCACCCGACTGTAACAACAACAAGAACTAGAAAGAAAAATCCAACAAAAGAAGGTAATTAGGGGGAAAAAAAAAAACAGAGAAGTGAGAGACAGATCCAGGAGGCCTGTAAAACGGCACAGGGTCCGACCTCCTCTCACTTCATGAGGGGGAGAGAGAATCACCATCAGCAGCCCCAGCCTGGTTCCTATGAGGCGAAGGTCAGCCAGCCTCCACCCTCCAACCTTCTCACCAATGCTGACACCAGCCGTCCCTCCCAGGGCTCTCTCTGCTTCTCTGCTAGGTCCAGTAATTCATTGCAGTGGCCACACGGAGCTCTCACATTATACTGATGATCATAGGGTTTACTGGGAAAGTGACAGCTTACAACTCAGGATCAGGAACAACTCAGGATGCAATTCTTCAGTCAGCACAGCTTCTTGGCTCCTGTGTCCACAAGCAGGCCTCTCCCTCAATGCCTTGGGCCTCTTGGCCAGGCTTCTGCGCTGCTCAGACAAGTGTTACAAAGCTCTTTCCAAAATCAAATCCACTGCCATCAAGTCAATTTCAACTCATAGCGACCCCCACTGGGTTTCCAAGGTAGTTAATCTTTACAGAAGTAGATTGCCTGATCTTCCTTCCATGGAGTGGCTGGTGGGTTTGAATTGCCCACCTTCTGGTTAGCAGTCACATGCCTTAGGCACTGTGCCACCAGAGCTCCTTACAAAGCTCTAGCTCCACCAGTAAGAGCCCAGAGGCACCCTGCTCCGCCAGTAAGGTCAGTGAGCCCGCTTCGCCAAGTGCCCAGAGCTTCAGCTTCCTCACTCCATGACGGGGAGGCCCACCCATTGTGCCATCTCCTGCTGCTGCTGCTACTTCTCCATTGCTTCTCACCATCTCTGTCTCCTGGGTCTAGGAGGTTCTCAGCACAAGGTCTCCTGGTCCAAAGGATGCATTCCACTCCTGTCTCTTCTTCTTGGTGGCAGTGAGGTCCCCCATCCACCTCTGGGATGGCTCATTTTAAGCCTAGTGGGGTGGCAACTGACCAGTACTCTCTGAGTACCTTATTTGCAGTCTCACCCCCATTAGGATGCCATACACCTCATTTGCATTATTCACAAGCTGTCCAATCCCCTTGGTCAGCCAACAGCACCTCATCTGCATATGCACAGTTCCACCTAATCGTTTATGGGAGTCACGAGACCATGGCAAGAAAAGCCCTAGAGAGGAAGTCCATCATTGCACAAGGGCCAAAGGAGAATGAAACAGATAAATGTAAGTAAGTGGCTGCGGCGCATGGAAACAAACATGACACTCCAGATGCAAAGCAGTGGCTCTCAGAGTGCACACAAAGGACAAGACCGCTGCACGCAGGCGACAAGAGACTCCACGAAGTCACAGGGACAGAGAGGCTGAAAGCGCAGGAGGAAAAACGTCAGCCCAGCACTAAGGGAGCAGAAAAAGATCGTGTCATTACATAACCACACAGAAGAGGCCTGCAGGCAAACGGCCAGCTGAGAAATCAAGAGGCGGTCCACCCTGACAAAAGGTCCCATTTACTGGGTGAAGCGATTGTTCTAATCTGCTGTGTGCCGGACACACCACTGTCCAAACTGACAGAACTACAAGGGGAGATGGATTAGGACTGTCAGCAGGGACTGTTGACATCTCTCAGTAACCGGTAGCCTGAGCAGGATGCAATTCAAAGACACAGTGGACACACTGGCTCTCGGGAACCTGTGAAAACACTGACCAACGGCAGGAGGCACACTCGTCTCGTGGCCTCACACACACCAGGAAGTGACTCAAGCGTCAGCAGACGGATCTGGCAGACCAAGGTCTCTGGTTACAGCACAACTAAATACCAATCAATAATTAAAAAAAAAAAAAAAAAAGTTTCTGTATAACTTTACAAAGGAAATGACCATGGAACTCAGAAGCAGGTGAGAGCTGTGATGACAGTACGCATGAGGGAGTCTGCCCAGAACACTGAGCTCTGGGGTCACATGACAACAGCAACTCGGAAGACTAGACAGGAAACTCAGGGGCAGTGAGTTACGTTCATGGGACTGGAACACGTGGAAGAGGTGCTGAGAGTGGCTGCACTTAGGAAGAATGAGAGCAAGGTCACTGAATCACACGGATGGAAGCTGTTTGCCTGCTGTAGGTTCTGCTGTGCAAAGAGTCAACAACAACAAGAAAACTCAAGTAAATTTGAAAACTCTAACTATGAAAACTCAAGGGATCCGCCAACATGGTACTGAGAGGCGGTTTAAGGATCGGGGTGCCCAGAGTAGAAAAGAAGAAAGGTGGAAAGTCAAAGAACCAAAGGCCCACCGTTTGCAGCCAGGAAAAGGAAGAATCCCCGAGAAGGCGAAGAAGGAACAGGGCATTAAAGACAGCAGCAGGAGCTCTTCAAACAAAAGGCGGATACACAACAGGCATGACCGAGAGCCAAGTGCTGATTCTCTGAAAGTGTCACAGAGTTGAAAGACCTGGTCAACAGAGAGACCAGAAACAAACTGGTCAGGAAGTAAAGTGCGGCACCAGGTGCCTGATGGGGCAGGTGTGCCTGGCCCGAGCCACGGTACTTTCAATCGCCCCAGATGCAAAAGCGGGCCACTGACGAGGGAACACAGAAGAACGGATGCGTCTGAGTTACGTCGGCAAGGAACACCGAACACGCTGAGGGCTGCCAGACAGCACCCTTCCTTCTTGGAGGAAGTGCAGCCAGATGCTCCTGAGAAACAAGGATGCAGGACTTCATCCTGGTTCCTTTGGACACATCATCAAAGACCCCCCACTCGAAAAGGACATCACATTTGGTCCATCGTTGTCGCCGTGGTTGTTGGGTGCCGTTGAGTCAGCTCCGAGTCACGGTGACCCTGGGAACAACACGACAAAACACTGCCCCTCCCGCACCACCTTCACAGTCCTTGCTGTCCTTGAGCCCATGGCTGTAGCTGCTGGTCGGTCTACCTCCTCAGGCTCTTCCTCTTTCTCTCTGAGCCTCCACTCGACCACGCGTGGTGCCCTTCTCCAGGGACCGATCCCTCCTGACATGACCACTCACCATCCTCACTTCTAAGTATTCTGGCTGTACTTCCTCCAAGACAGACTTGTTCGTTCTTCTGGCAGCCCATGGGACATGCGGTGTTCTTTACCATATACTTGGTAAACTATCAAAAGAACCAAGCTCACAGTCGTCGAGTCGGACCCGACTCATAGCGACCCCTCCTTGGGTTTCCGAGGCAGTATCAATACAGAAGTAGATTGCCCAACCTTCCTCCTGAGGAGTGGCTAGTGGGTTGGAACTGCCAGCCTTCTGATTAGCAGTCAAATGCCCTAAGCACTACACCACCAGAGCTCTGTAATAAACTACAGCATTAGGAAAAATGACAGAAACCCTCCAAGAAATGGATTGCAGAGTGGCTGCAACAATGGGCTCAAGCAAACAATGATTGCAAAGATGGCAACCGGGGGACCTTTGTCCTGTGATACGCTAGGTGCATAAAGGCGTAGACTTGACAGCAATCAGCAACAACCACAAATGCCAGACCCACCACAAAGACATTATGAACCACTCAATACTGTTGTACTTGAAATTTCAGAAGAGATGGACAAATTCCTGTGAAAAATTTACCAAAACCAATTCAGAAGAGAAAGAAAGCCTGAACAATCCTGAAACTATTAAATTGATCTGTCAAAAGTACCCCCTCCTAGATAAAAATCTCAAGCCCCCAGAGTCCTCTTTGGCACATTCTACCCAACATTCAAGAAAAAAGTAATTCCAACCTTATACTAGTTCTTCCAAAGACTAGTAGAAGAATGGCTATTCCTCAAACTGTCTTATGATTTTGATACTGAATTCCAACATAGGTGAGAAAGGAACATTATCAGGTAATACTAACCATAAAGACACCTGCAAGACTTCTAAACAAAATATGCAAAGTCAGTCAGACAAGGAGTAAGAAGCTGAGGGCTCAGGTCAGGCTTATCCCGGGAGCACATGGCTCATGTGAGCTTGGAGAGGTCAGTCAGTGTAATTCACCGTGGTGACAGAGTAGAACGAGCCCCTGCCATCTCAGAAGCATTAGGTCCTGACCGTTCAGGGCTCCCTAAGGTGGCTCACCATCTCAGAAGCATTAGGTCCTGACCACTCAGGGCTCCCTAGGCGGCTCAGATGGTAAAGTGTTTGACTATTAACCAAGAGGTTGGAAGTTCAAAGCCACCCAGAGGGCCCTCAGAAGACAGGCCTACCTCTGAAAGGACCCACCCTTGAAAGCACTGTACAGCTTGGTTCTGCTCTGCACACGTCTGGGTCGCCACGGGCCAGAATCCACGGCACCACGGGCCACCCCACAGCAGCTAACAGCAGTGAGGCTGACTGCAAGCAGCAGGTGCAGTCCTGATTGCAGAACACCAGACACCCCACTCCATCTCCGAGCACCAGGGTTTGCTCATCCGTGTGCTGGGTGTGGGGGCAGCGGCACCCACCCCCCAACCAAGCACTGATCTGCCGACCCGGAGAGTCCCTTCCTGCCCCAGGCCTGCTCACCCAGGTGGCCATAGCCCACCACGGTCTTGGCGCTGGGTCCCAGGCGGGTGCGCAGGTCCGTCACGAGGTCGTAGAGCCGCTCCACTGGCAGGGAGATGTCATATTTGTACACGTAGCCATCGCGGCTCAGGGCTTCGGTGATCCTCTCCCGAAGGGCCCACAGCATCTGGGTATGGACACAGCCAGCCAGAGAACTTTTGAGGCCACAGTAAGGACAGCTCCCATTGCTGGGGGACAGCTGGGAAGGGGCACGGGGGAGCTTTCCCAGGTGACGGACATGCGATGTCCTCACGGGGGGGGGGGCGGCTTTCACACCTATCAAAATCGCCCAGCTGTACAACTAACTAGATGTCTGCTGGAATACATGGCTTCAGCTCTGCTCCCTCCAAAAACTCCATTAAAATACAACAACAAAGAAATGGAGAAAGAGGCAGTGAGTCCAAACACCAAGGGGGCAGGGGAGCCGCAGGGCGCAGCAGACACTGGCGGCTGCAGAGATGGACACGAGCCCCAGAGACCCCCCAACACTGCCCCCAGGCCTGGTGCTGACCTCAGGGAGCTGGTCGAAAGCTGCCTCTCAAAGGGGGACAAGCAAAGATGGCCCCACCACCACCACCACAGTGCACAAGGTTCTGGTCCAGTGCAGGCCCGGCCCCTCCCCCTCCTGCTCCCTGAAAACAATAGGGTTCAGTGGTAAAGGCGCCACCCACCTCTCAGAGGCTCAAGCCTGGGACCTGACCTCACCCGGAAATGGGCCCAAATCCAGCCCCTGGTCCACCTCAAGTGCCCACCTGCCCCCTGGTGGCCTCTCTTGGCACTGCAGCCCTGTCAAAGCCAAGACTGCAGTCCGCACCGGTCTGTGCCTCACACGCTGGACCAGCTGAACCTCCCAGCACCCCCACCCCAGGCTGGAGGGGAAGGAGGGACCCAGGGCCGTCCGGCAGCCCACACGGCACCTTCATCTTCCTCTGGTCCGTGGCCACGGTCCCAGCAGTCACCAGGCCGCAGCCCAGGGCGTGCTCCAGAAAGGCATCCAGCTTGACACTGTCATGCTCAGCACTGGAGCCCGAGGTCTCCACCAAGACGTAGAACAGACTTTCTGGAATGAGCAAGGTCTGGGGTGGGTGCCAGGTCCGAGGTCCGAGGTCCGAGCAGCTCCTAAAACCCACCCGACTCAGCCCACATGCCCACCCCCCCCCCCCCCTGTGTCCCGGGCCTCCCCCCCCACGTGCCCAGCCCAGCCCCGTTCCCATCCCCCACCCTGCATCCCAGGCCTGGGTATCCTGGATTGCTCCTTTGCTCCCAGAGGACCCAGGTGACTTTCCAGGAAGATAAAAGCCCATTCCAAAGATTTCTCGAGACCCATCAACTGTCCCACGGAAAGTGTGACACTTCACGCTCTGAGATCCTCTGGATCTGCCCTTAAAATCCTCTCCTTGCTATGTCCTCCAACCAAAACGGTTACAGCATGACCTTACCTGGCCCTGACCAAGCGCCATGTTGAAAATGCACTGTAAATCCAGTGCTACAGGCTCATGAACCCCTGGCAAGCTGTGCACAGCGGCAGCCATGAGGGTGAACCCTACCTGGAGAGTGGGGTACAGCCAGAGGGCTCCGGACCATCAGTGACCTCATGGTGGATGCCGTACCAGCCAGGACACCAACCAACAGACCCTAACTGCGTGCACCCCAGAACTGCTCTCGTTGGGGCGGGGAGCAGTGCTTGGTGGAAAAGGAACCCCTAGAAAACCACACCCAACTCATAGTGGATGCTTGGCCTGGAGCTTTCCACCAGCGGGCTGAGTCCACATGATGAGCCGTGGCCTCAGGGAGGTGCCCAGGGGGTTGGGTTAGAGGGTCCACATGACCACGAGGCGGCCCAGGGAGGTGCCTGGTGGATTAGGTTGGAGGGTCCGCATCCCATGAGTCCACATGACCACGAGGCGGCCCAGGGAGGCGCCTGGTGGATTAGGTTAGAGGGTCCACCTCCCCTGAGTCCACGTGACATGCAGTTGCTCAAGGAGGCACCCAGTGGGGTGGGTAGAGGGTCTGTGTTGTCTGAGGCTGGAATGCTTCATGCAAAAAGGTCCTAATTTTTACCACAATGTTTAATTTTAAAATTTTTCTTTAAAAATTCTTTTTAAAATATTTTGAAAGTTTAAAAATTCCAATATGCATCACTTATTTAATATTGTTTATTAAATATGTTATTAAGACATTTTTAATATTTTTAAATGTTAGTGTCTTTTATATAAATCTATCTCAATGTGTTAACCTGAACAGATTTGCTTCTTCCCGAGGCTACAGTGAGTTTGTTTCTTACACTTGAAACCCACACAGAACTGAAGGTGGGCACACCAAGACTATTTCCAGAAAATGTGGCACATTCCCCCCCATGGCACACCGCCACCTCCCCTCCATGTCACACCACCGTCCCCCATATCACACCACCATCTGCCCACGTCACACCACCATCCCCCCAACATCACACTGCCATCCCCCCACATCATACTGCCATACCCCCACATCACACTGACACCTGCCCTCCATGTCACACCACCACCACCCTGCCACGTCACTCCTTCATCTTCCCACACTGACACACACTTCTGCTCTTAAATGTATAACAAGTCCCACGGAACACTGTCGTTGTTAGGGGCCACCCAGTTGGCCCCAAGTCACAGTGACCCCATGCACAGTGTCTTTAGGGATCACATAGTGGGTCCTGACTCACAGTGACTCCACACACACTGTCGTTAGGGACCACCCACTCAGCCACAACTCACAGTGACCCCACACACACTGTCGTTAGGGACCACCCACTCAGCCACAACTCACAGTGACCCCACACACACTGTCGTTAGGGGCCACCCTGTCGGTCCCAACTCACAGTGACCCCACGCACACTGTCGTTAGGGGCCACGCAGTCAGCCCTGACTCACTGCAACCCTGTGTACAACAGAATCCTACACCATCCCACAACCCCTGCTGTACCTGAGCCCATCTTTGCAGCCACTGTGTCAATCCATCTCATTAAGGATCCTTCTTCACTGACCCTCTACTTTACCAAGAATGACATCCTTCTCCAGGGAATGGTCCCTTCTGACCACATGATGAAAGTACAAGAGATGAAGTCTGGCCATTCAGGCTTCCAAGGAGCATTCTGGCTGCACTTCCTTCCAGGACAGATCTGTTAGTTCTTCTGGCAGTCCACAGTACTTTCAACATTCTTCGCCAGCACCACAACTCAAAAGCATCAGCTATTCTTCGGTCTTCCTTATTCATTGTCCAGCTCTCACATGCATATGAGGCAATTGAAAATACCATAGCTTGAGTTAGGTGCACCTTAGTCTTCAAAGTGACATCTTTGCTCTTCAGCATTTTAAAGAGGTCTTTGGCTGCAGATTTGCCCAGTGTAGTACAATGTCTGACTTCCTGACTCCTGCTTCCACAGGTGTTGACTCTGTACTTCTACTATATGAAGAAGAATGGGACACGAGGAGGTTATTTGAAATCTCTGGCTCTTTTTGCCATTATGGAAGTAAAATGTGTCTCTAAAAAGAGATTTGGAGAGACTTCCAGTAAGATGGAGGAATAGGCAGGCAAGCGACACAGACCCTCTTCAACAAAGGAAAGAGAAACCAATTGACAGAGATACAGAAGATACTCCTGGAGCCCTGAGCTTTGAAAGGAACCATACAGAAGTGGATTAGGCACCAACCAGTGGAAAAACCTGAATGAAAAAGTGAATACTGAGACAGTCGGAGCTGCAGACTATCAGCTACTTTGATTGGACCAACAGCCTGAATATTTCCAAGTGGTGTTGGGACCTGAGAATTGACCTAAATAAAGATCAGCCCTGGTTGCCAAGGGCTGCAGGGACAACTGCACTGGTGGTCTTTGACTAGGAAGGGAAACAGCAAGGAGGGAGACTATCTGAGCTGTGGACTTTCCGCTGTCCAGAGGGCGCAGCCATTTTTATTGTTTACATGTGGCAGCCATTTTGGATATTTAAAGTGACCGAGGGCGAAGCCATTTCAAATGTTTACAAACAGTGGCCATTTTGGATATTTAAAATGACTGAGGGCACAGCCATTTTGAATCTTTACAAGTGGCAACCATTTTGGATTTTAAAATGACAGCATTCTCATTCAGATTCCAGGGACCTAAGAATAGGCTCTGTTTGCCACAAGGTCAGCAGGAACATACGAGAGGCCAACAACTGGAAAGGAGAGAGGTGGTGAGTGTATTAAGTGCTGTCAACTAGTGAATAGAGGAGCACAGTAATCTTCCTGCATAAACAACATACAAATAAAACAAAGAAAATGAAAATCATGGGCAAGTCACTCCAACATACAATCACCAATTGAATATAAACACGAAAACGTCACAATGCCTCGGAGACAACAGAGCATCACACTCCACACAAAGAAGCAAGATAAAACAGCAGAAAAAAGGGACCAGGATACAGATTCAAAACACATCCCTGAGGAAGATGCAGCATTGGAACTCCCTGATAAGGAATTCAAAAGAATTATATTTAGGTATCTTCAACAAATTGAGAGGCAGATCAAGGAAAACACAGAGAAAACCCTAGAACAAATTCAAAAGACAATACAAGAACAAAATGACAAAATAAATGAAAAATTAGAAATGATACA